CTCGATCCCAGGACCCTGAGATCATGACCTGAGCTGAAGGCAGACGCTTAACCAACTGAGCCACCCAGGTGCCCTCCCATCTTTTTTTTTTTTTTTTTGACAGCTTTATTGAGATGTCCTAAGTGTCCAATTCAATGACTTTTTGTATATTCACAAGACTTGCTGCATGTAGTGTTCGTCACTATAATCAATTTTAGAGCACGTTTATACTTCCCCAAAGAAACCCTGTACGCATTATCAGTCCTGACACCAGTGCTTTGTTCTCTTTTTACAGATGAATAATATTCCACTGTCTGGATGCACCATGTTCCCTTTATCCATTCATCAGTGGACAGACACTGGGGTTCTTCCCACTTTTTGTTGATCATGAATAAAGCTGCTCTGAACGTGTGCGTACATGTTTTTGTGTGAATGTGTATTTTTTTTTCTCACTTACCTTTTGTTTTCTCACTTTTTCTAAAGATTTTATTTGTTTAGGAGAGAAAGAGAGAGAGAGCATGCACGAGCAGGGGGAAGGGCAGAGGGAGAGAGAGAGGCAGAGAATCTCAAGCAGACTCCCTGCTGAGCGCAGAGATCCCATGACCCTGAGACCACGACCTGAGCTGAAACTCCTAGTTGGACACTTCACCGACTGAGCCACCCAGGCGCCCCTTGTTTTCTCACTTTTAATAGAAACCAGGATGAAGAGGAATGTTCCTCTGTTGTGCAAGGCAGGACGGTGTGGGGAGGGCAGACTGCCTGGGTTCGAATCCTGGCTCCGCCATGCGCTGCTTATGTGACTTGGGGCAAGTCACATAACTTCTCTGTACTGTGGTTTCCTCAGCCATAAAATGAGGATAATCATAGGGTCCACTTCCTAGGGGTTGTTATAAAGATGAAAGACTATTTGTAGAGCACTTAGCACTGAGGCCCCAGGAAATAGGGCATCAGGGTTTGTTAAATAAAGGCCGGCCAGGTAAGTATAACTACAAGTGGCTCTTGACATTCAGCCTCGAGGTGGGTCAAGGGCACATGCCCTGTCGCAAGGGGCGCAACGGCTGCCCAGCTGTCTTTGGCCGAGGTGGGGGGAGGGGAGCGTGTGCGACTGCTGGGCCCCATACAGGAACCCAGGACGCATTAACAGGAGACCCTAATGAGAGGGTCCCCGGCAGAAGGCCATCCCACCAGCGGGGCCAGTCCCAGAAACTTTTGGAAAGAAGCCATCAGTCAAGACCACTACGTAATAGATACACCATCTCATGGAATCCCCACACATGTCCCCAAACAGCCCAAGAGTTAACATTTTGGGAAATGTGGAGGAACTGGAATCCGCTCCCATCCCACGCGGGTCCATGCAAGAAACAGCAACTCAGCAGAGGTCCTGGGTGCTAGAGCGTCGGCCCAGGACCGATGGTCTGGACAGGATGCCTGTCTTGTTCCCTACTATACGCCCAGAGCCTACACACTCCAAACATGAACTAGCACTCAACAATCTACTAACCCACTGAAGGGTCTGGCGATTAAAGGTCAGACAAAAATCAGGATGTGGGGCTCCTGGGGGTCCCCAGTTGGGTGGAGTGAAGGAAAGGCTGCCTCTTCCTTCAGGGGCCAGCACCCTTGCCCCACCTGGCCTCCAAAGGCACTGAGTGTGGGACAAGGGTCCCCAAAGGCTCTGCCCCTTTCTAGCTGGGTGAGGAGGGACGGGCACTCTGTCAGGAGAAATCATCCGGCCTCGTGAGGTCTGGAGAGAGCCAAGTAGGGTGGGGCCAAGGAGTTAGGTTCTCTCCTTTGAGGCAAGTGGGAACCACTGAGGGTTCCTCAGCTGGAGAATGACTAGGCTTAAAGCAAGGGAACCTGGGGCGCCTGGGTGGCTCAGTCGTTAAGCGTCTGCCTTCGGCTCAGGTCATGATCCCAGGGTCCTGGGATCGAGTCCCACATCAGGCTCCCTGCTCAGCGGGAAGCCTGCTTCTCCCTCTCCCACTCCCCCCGCTTGTATTCCTCCTCTCGCTGTCTCTCTCCCTGTCGAAAAAAAAAAAAAAAAAGCAAGGGAACCTGAAGGGCAGGTGGAGCTGGATGGAAACCTGGCCAGCCAGCAAAAAAGTCCTGACAAGGGCTCAAGAGAAGACCTAGAGGTTAAGATGGAGACTGGGTACAGGGCAGGAGGTTGACTTCTTCTTCTTCTTCTTCTTCTTCTTCTTCTTTTTTTTAAAGATTTATTTATTTATTTGACAGAGAAAGACACAGCGAGAGAGGGAACACAAGCAGGGGGAGTGGGAGAGGGAGAAGCAGACTTCCGGCCGAGCAGGGAGCCCGATGCGGGGCTCGATCCCAGGACCCTGGGATCATGACCTGAGCTGAAGGCAGATGCTTAACGACTGAGCCACCCAGGCGCCCCCAGAAGGTTGACTTCTTGAGGGGGACTTAGAACTGAAAGAGATTTAGTGGTGGGGGGCAGGGAGGAACTGGAATCCGCTCCCATCCCACGCGGGTCCATGCAAGAAACAGCAACTCAGCAGAGGTCCTGGGTGCTAGAGCGTCGGCCTAGGACCGATGGTCTGGAAAGGATGCCTGTCTTGTTCCCTGCTGTACCCCCAGAGCCTACACAAGGGTCGCGCATGTGTAGTAAGTGCTCAATAAACACCACCGAACGGGAGCGCCTGGGTGGCTCGGTCGGTTAAGCATCTGACTCTTGATTTGGGCTCAGGTCATGATCTTAGGGTTGTGAGATCGAGCCCCACGTTAGGCTCAGTGCTCAGCAAGGAGTCTGCTTGAGATTCTTTCCCTTTTCCCCTTCCCCTGCACACTCGCGCTCTCTCAAATAAATAAATCTTTAAGAAATATACACCACCAAATTAGTATCTGGCTCTGTGCTGGGTGGGGGTGCTGCAGAAGCGACAGGACAAGTCAAGGGCTTGTTCTCCAAGAGCTGACAATGTGGTGGGGAGACAAATATCCCACCAATAGGCATCATCAAGGATGCCAGGAAGACTGAAGGGGGCGGGAGGTGGGTGGGGGTAAGAACCCAGAGCCAAGGCCTGACCCATCCGAGGCAGGCTGGGAGGGCTACCTGAAGGAGACTCAATTCCTTTTCCAGGGAACCTGAGCTCAGGCCCACGGAGCCCCACCCCCAACTTCGGGTCCCTGGGTCCCTTCGGGGACTCAGATTTACCATTCTAAGGAAGGCCTTGTGATTGCAGGATGCCTGTTATCTTCTGAGGGAGGCGGCTCTCCCGGATCTGGATCTAGGGTCATGTCTCAGCACTGCCTGCTTCAGAGGATTAAAAAAACCCCACTCTTAGGGGGCCTGGGTGGCTCAGTTGGTTGTGTCTGCCTTTGGCTCAGGTCATGATC